GAGGTGGATCGTCACCGCGTCGGCGAACATGGTGGAGCCACCGTGCTGGAATTCTGAAATTGGCCGAGTAGGCCTGTGTCTGATCTTGAGTTTTTTCAGGACACGTGCAGGTACTAGAAGTGGGTTTCAGTTTCCGAAAAAAAATTCAGGGAATCTAGGGACTACCTGTAGGCGCAGTGAGAACCCGATTTTAGACGCCGAAACAAGTAAGGATCTCTCACCTTATTTCCTATTACGGCATTAAAGCTTAATAAATGATAAAATGGTATGTTATGAATTAATAGATATGTATAATTAATTAAGGTTGCTAATGAATGCCGAATCTGATGTATTTTTCGGTCAATTGTTGTTTGATTTATTTTATAGTTTTAAATGCAGTATGGTGCCTGATGTGTTTATTCTATGATTTCGTATGCATGAATCACAGTTTCATTTATTATGGTTTGAATTATTGTGAACCCGATGTTGTGTTGCCTTGTTTGGTGTCTATTACTGGTTTATGTATTTATGTTTGATTGGATAACTGAAACTAAGAAAAATAGAAAAATAGAAAAATGTATGTGAATTGATAAATGGATAATATCGACAGTCTAACTAGATATCCTAGGAGATGGTGGACGGACCGGGTCCATAGGGAACCCTACCGGGAACGTGGTCTCTCATATCGGATAGGGTATGGAGACTTTAAATGTTTTGGTGCTCATACCGGACGGGGTATAGGGACGGCCCCCTTCACCCTCATCCCGGACGGGATATTGAGGTTTATGGTTTTTGTGCTCATACCGGACGGGGTATGGGGATGGCCCTGAAATTAAGGTGAATGGTTCACGTGTAGCGGGGACCCCTATGGATCCCCATGGATACTAGTAAGCTGATAAAAGATGAAATTTGTTGTCTGATGATTGAAATACCAAAGTATGATATGTGTTATGTTACAAAGTGTGCATGATCTTATGATGTTTATAATGTTATTGTTTTCATAGGTTGTTTTCATGAATCTCACCGTGGTAAGTGGACAGTAAAGAGTTTTATTATTGATAAATGAATTTGTTATAAATTATGCTCTATTGGTCGTTTTTGTTTTCTACCAACCTTTACTTCTGTGACAGTGAGATAGTGTGACATCTTTACTGGGCTAGTGTACCTCATTCCTTACTTAACAATTTCATATCAGGAGGACTTAGTTCCCGAACCCGTTCCGAATGAAGACGTCGAGTAGAAACTTAAAGATTTATTAGTTTTCTTTATAGTATTCATTTATAGTATTTTCTTCAGTTAATTTATTCTTTCATATCTTTAATACTTTTTGATTATTGTGTAAGGGATGTTAATCATAATCTATTTTATTTCGCTTCCGCATTTAGAATAAATATATACATTTTCTTTTAATTTCCGGGACCATTACATATTACATCAAAGACTAATTTCTTAGTGATAATTAATTTCATGTTGTATCTTTAAAGATCGGGTCTATTTCTATTACATAATTTCTTTGAGTTTTACATTCTTGAAAAAATATATATATTTAAGTTTTGGATATAAATAATTAAAAATTATAGTATATTTATTATTTTTTAAATATATAGTAAGTATTTTAAATTTTTTCTATAAGACTATGAATTCAAGTTACGAATTGAATGTTCCTTATGTCATACTTAGAAGATGATTTATAGTTCTTGTTAAAATATTATATTACATGTGTTACTTTTATTAAAATGGGAAAAAATTTGTATTTTTTTATATTATATTCTCGTTCATGTTTCAATTAAATTAAAATATAAATCGAACTTAATATAGTAATCACTCTTTGTTATTTATATTTCAATTAAAAAAATAATGCATAAGTTAATCATTTTTTTTTTTTTGAT